AAAATACAGTCCTGACGAACCTTGTGGAACCTGTTTCTCATACCATGTTCAATAACAGGCACTGGGTATTCCAACAAGATTCGGCGCCAGCTCATAGAGCGAAGAGCACACAAGACTGGCTGGCGGCGCGTGAAATCGACTTCATCCGGCACGAAGACTGGCCCTCCTCCAGTCCAGATTTGAATCCGTTAGATTACAAGATATGGCAACACTTGGAGGAAAAGGCGTGCTCAAAGCCTCATCCCAATTTGGAGTCACTCAAGACATCCTTGATTAAGGCAGCCGCCGATATTGACATGGACCTCGTTCGTGCTGCGATAGACGACTGGCCGCGCAGATTGAAGGCCTGTATTCAAAATCACGGAGGTCATTTTGAATAAACTTTACTGTCAAAAGAATCTATGTTTTGTTAAGTTCATTTTGGTATATGAATGGTTACATACTGAATAAACTTTTTTCAATTATTTTACATTAAACATGTGACAGAATTTATGACCTGACTAGGTATTTTCGATTCTTAATTGTTTTTCTAATTAAATCGGTTACACAGAAACAATGGCACGCAATCGCCAAAAGGATAAACGATGGAACCGAAGAGAAACCGCCTCACTTCAATAAAGACCTCCAGAGATTCGCTCAGGCTTTTATAACCAAAGACACTGATCTTGGAGGCGTCGTCAGAGAGACGTTCCCAGAGTGTAAAGACTTGGATACTAGGATTATTCTCACTGGTGAATATATGTTTGATAATATCATTAAACACTATTAAACTATCAGAGGATCTTTTTTGATTCTAAAATGGTTGGAAGAGCTCATGACTCTCCTGGTGTTAAGTGGCCACTGGAGCCCGTAGACATCAACCACAATAATGCCGTCGGCCGTCTTGAGACATTAGTTCCAAGTATTAGTTTCTACAGTAGAACGGCTGCCCCACCCTTCAAACCGAAATGCATTATTGTTTCACAACAGAAATAGGGTGTCCCGATCCTGCGGACAGAATGGAAAGCAGTCGACGTCGCCTAAAACACGTCATTTCGGATCCTCCCGATCCACTAACGGTGCTTTTAGGTACCTCAAACACCGGTCACCGTTCTCGTCGAACCCGTCGCTTGCGACGAAGAGCTCGACGAGTAAATTAACCCTCAGACACAGCCCACTGAGTTTCTCGCCGGATCTTCTCAGTGGGTCGCGTTTCCGATCCGGTGGTAGATTCTGCGAAGCACTGCTCTTGCTAGGGTTCGTGTTAGTAACGTCGTCAGGTTTGAGCCCCACGAGCTCACCTACTAGTTAAGGTTACGCTGAAATAGCTTCTCAAGGCTATCAGCTTAGGTAGGGAAAAAAAATAGGCTGGGTCGTAGGTACCCTACCCGTACCTACCCGGCACAGTCGCTCGATTCTTGTCCTAAGAAACTATTCCTAAGACGCCCGGTGCATTCCTAAATACCGGACGTCTTATCCGTTAGGCCGCAATGCCTTCGGAACATATAAAAGTTTATATTGTCCAAAGAGAATTAATTGAAAATACCTCTGCTAACTGAAAACGTCAATATTTGTTCTAAGGTCTCCATACTTGTGGGAATCTTGGTCCGGACTCGCTTCGTATCTTCACGGCTCGATCGCAGATAGCAGGCCTCCTCACGGTCCCGTGCTGTTACCACCTCCTCACCGAGGACTCAGACGTGGAACTCTTCGATGTTTTCCAGAAGGAGTACGGAAGTGGAGAGAGGACGCAGGGTTTCCCGATGTCTGAGTATCTGAGAGGTATGGTTGAAATTTCAGAATCTGATTAGAACAAGGTTGGTTTTCAGCTAGACCAGAGGTGAGCAACCTTTTTAATAAATGGGCCAATTTAAAATTTCATTTTTATTGGCGGACCACAATTTACGAAACTTTATCTATCTATCTGCTATCTATATATATAAAAATGAATTGCTGTTCGTTAGTCTCGCCATTAAGCAGGCCGAATGCAGGCAAAATTGGAGGAAGCTGGTGCAAAAACTGGGCCAAAGTGGTCACGACCCTCAGTAATGAGGAAACGACAAAGAAGAAGAAGAAGTCTCGCTAAAACTCGAGAACGGCTGGACCGATTTGGCTAATTTTGGTCTTGAATTACTTGTGGAAGTCCAGAGAAGGTTTAAAAGGTGGATAAATATGAAAATGCTCGGAATTAAATAAAAATAACGATTTTGTTTTTCCTTTTATGTGTCCCCCGTCGGTGGGATGCCTTTGGTTTGTTTTAGGTTTATTTTATACAAAAGCTTAGGTCTTTTATTTATCGATTGAGGCACTACGAAGTATGCCGGGTCAGCTAGTTTATTATAAAAAAAACACCCGTAGCTTTATATCAGACAACCCGATGAATACAATAAAAAAAATTATAACTATTTCACTTTAAATGTGGGTGTATATTGTGCGCAGGCTACAGGCTGGGTCGCAACGCGCGCATGCTGGCGGCGCAGTCCATGGACCGCGTGCTGCACCAGCGCCAGCTGCCGGCCCACAGCTTACTGCACCGCGCCATGCTGCAGGTATACCGGGCTCACTAACGCTCACAGACGCTCACAGCTGCCGTAATTACTTAGACGTGAACCGAATTACCTGAAAAGGGAAGGTCTTGTTCCGAATGTGATCTAGTGACGTAACCTTGGTAACGGAATAGTCCAATTATTATTTATTTTATTATCTATATATTAATACGTGAAGCACAAACGTTATAGCCCTTTTTACGAAAATTGCGCGGATGGAGGAGTATGAAATATCCTACACTTTTATTTATTTATTGCTTAGATGGGTGGACGAGCTCACCTGGTGTTAAGTGGTTACTGGAGCCCATAGACATCTACAACGTAAATGCGTCACCCACCTTGAGATATAAGTTCTAAGGTCTCAGTATAGTTACGACAGCTGCCCCACCCTTCAAACCGAAACGCATTACTGCTTCCCGGCAGAAATAGGTGGTGATAATTACCCGCGCGGACTCACAAGAGATCCTACCACCAGTAAAAAACTTGGTAAGGGGTTCGACGTACATCCTAACCTATACATCAGCCTGAGTTTCTCGCCGGATCCTCTCAGCGGGTCGCGACTCCGATCTGGTAGTAGATTCATTCGCAAAGGGCTGCCCTGAGGCACTGAGGGAGACCGCCATAGGGCGTGCGTGGCATGTCCATTGATTTATTTCATAAAAAAAGCAACATGAAAAAGTATGTCTTAATAATCTTACGTTCTCTCCCCAGGTTGTCATCAAGAGATATTTACCCAACACCACATTAAAGGAAGGTAAATTGAAACGCATCTCGAAATGCGACACCTTCGAACAATACTTCAAGATGGCCGACAAAATTCTTAATTTAAATCTAAATCTGCCCGAAACGTTCTACACAGATACGCAATTGTATTTGGATTGCCAGTGGAAAAAAATGACTTTATTTTATTTAATCAGACTGTGTTTGGCCCAAGTAGTTGAAAGCGTAATATTGTTGGATAGAATATTGTTTTTGTATGAGAACGGCTTCGAGAAAGTTTATTTAGTTAAATTATTTGATCCGGTTTTATCGCCGCGCTGTCACAGTGTTGTTGCTTTAAGATAATAAAAAAAACGCGTAGACTGAAGACTTTTATATTTATCTCCGACATTGAAAATTTAAAGTATGTTTTTCACAAAAATGACTGTTGAAGCGTTTAGTGTGATTTTGTTATTAGAATCATCATTCCCTCTAGACCAGTGATTCTAAACGACTGTACCTCGCTACTTTACAATTAATATATTTTTTTTTTATTGCCCTTGTAGGCAGACGAGCATACGGCCCACCTGATGGTGAGTGGTTACCGTCGCCCATGGACTTCAGCAATGCCAGGGGCAGAGCCAAGCCGCTGCCTACTGATTAATATAGCGTATTTATGCGTTTTCAATTTATCTTATTGTCTCGTTAAATTTTACTATCGTTAAAAGAGTGCCGCGGTGAAACAAAGGTTGAGAATCAAGAAATGGAAAATTTATAAAGACATATAATATTACAGAATGTTGCGTGATATGTCTTTATTAAACTAAAGAACAAAATTTGAACAATTTTGTTTGAAAAGTTGAAATAAGGAACATCCGACCTTATGCAGCTATCTATATTTAATATCTAAAGACTCATTAGGTATGGCATAGTCTTATCCTTTAGGCCACGACGACTTCATTCATACCCTGTTGTTATTAAGGTTCTGGATTCTGGATAAGGTTTCTCTTTCAGGATTCTGGCACTTATAATGTAGGAACTTCTATGTAAATCTCCTCGCCAAGTAGATGATATGTATCATTTACATATGTAGTAAATTTATATCAATTATTAAAATATTTGATATGTAAATAATATTAATGAATATCGTATTTTTGTGTATTCTAAGTGATGTTATGTAATTTACGTTATTATACTGTAAATAAAAAAACAACTGCTCAAGAATTTTTATTTATTCGTCACCCTACTGAGTTACCAGTACAAAATATAGTTTCATTTTTTTGTGTATGTCTATAAATTAATAAAGAGTTTGACTGCCGGTGATCGGTAAATATTATGGAGGGTAGAAGTAATGAGCATCATCTCAGTGTAAAGTATTCGCTGGAAGGGAGACTTAAGGTGGCGCCACTGTAGCAAGTGGAAAGGTTTTTTAAACAGCGCCCTAAACTATTAGAGTAGGATACACTCCAACGTAAATAGTAATAGAAATTAATAGTTGAGATAAACCATATGCGTAATACAGAATGAATTAGACAAAAAAAGTTTATATTTTAAATTTTTTTAACTACCCCAAGTCACGAAAAATATTAGATTTTTCAAAACCAGTACACTCTGTTTATTCAAATCATTTTCATTTCCGACAAATGCGCTATTTCAATGAGTCCAACTTTATCTCCTACCTATGCTGGTAGCCTTGAGAAGCTATTTCAGCTTCGCCTTGACGTGTAGGTGAGCTCACGGGGCTCAAACCGGAGTGTTGCTAACACTGACCCTAGCAAGAGCAGTGCTTCGCAGAATCTACCACCGGATCGGAAACGCGACCCACTGAGAAGATCCGGCGAGAAAATCAGTTTGAGAGTCCAAACAATAACTTGCTCTTGACAAGTGGACATTTTTTCAACGTGTCTCCTATAAAAGATGATGCTCCTTACTTCTACCCTCCATAGTCGATATCAAGTTTCTAGTTGGTTGTCAAATATCGTAAAGTAATCGATTAAAACGTAAAACTGGTTTTAATTATATCTGCCACACGCGAAAACCGAAAAAATTACAAAGTATTCTTAGTTCTGGCGAAACTTTGATATACGCTGTGCAAGAATGGTGCATTCACACCCGATAACCCTTACAGAGTAGAGGCCGGTCTATATTTAAATACTTACTCCCTTTCAATAATAATAAACTTTTTTTATTATTGCTTCTGCAATTAATTGATCCCAATTGTTTATTTTTGGCGATGGATTAGGGTCCTAAATATTATCTTTGGGCCCGCGGTCCATTCTCAATTTTTGCGGATCATCCAATCCCACGCGCCCCCTAGGAGCGTAGATCTCATAGGAGATTCCACTCTCGACCCAAAAAAAGGTATGATTGTACAATAGACAGTTTTATCGCTAAAAGCGAAAATAACAACAATTTAAATATTATTGTTAAAACGAATAATTGTTTCATAAAAATTGGCAAATTATGTGCCTTCTGTAAATTATACTTTTTCCGTGCCATTGTTAAGTAGGTAATTAAATATGGATTTAGCTCATGTTGATACAGTTAGTTGTTGCAAAATACGACTGCGCGCCGCCCTTAGTTGTGTGAGTGACCAATCTGTATACGCGTCAATGTAGGCTGTATGTAGCTAATGTAGCTACTGATCGCTCCCGCGTCGGATGCACACACTAACGAAAATGTATATTTATGATTACAACTACAAATAAAGGCAGGTCCCGTACTTTGCAACAACTATACTTAAAAATTTACTTACTAATTACGGCCCACCTGATGGTGAATGGTTACCGTCGCCCATAAATTCCAGCAATGCCAGGGGCAGAGCCAAGCCGCTGCCTACCGTTATGTACTCTCCACAAGCCTCGTTTGAAGAATTTTGTTACGACGTAACAAAGCATATGTAGGGGAGCTCATTCCAAAGCCGGATGGTACCAACGTGGCAAAAAAGATCTACCTATAGAAACGCACTGCATTCCTTCTGATGCACCAACCGAATACTTCATAGTTTTCGTGGTCACAGAGGACTTAGGTGCTCCTTGCATCGACATTTCAATATTGTACTAACTAACCTCTAATTTTCTATAAAATATATTCCTTGACATCTCATATTTTTATGATACAAAAATAACTAACGGTACCTTGATGTCTGGCAGTTTCCAATAACGATATTTTCAATAACAAATGATCTATAAATAAAAGTATTGCGCCGTCTCCACGTCGATTTGGCGGGCAGGCGACAAACAAAATCAGTTATTATCTCTTATTAGGCCTGAGAATAAAGCCCGCGATAAACACTACACTTTTACAGCTGAATAACAGAAATAAGAAACTAGAATGGCTATGAAGCATTGCTAAAAAATATTCACATCTCTGTAGATTATTTTAGACACAACGACTATTGAGACAGTTAAATGCTGACAAAATGGAACCTTTGCGAAGTATTAATATGTCATGTAATTTATAAAAATTATTGTGCAAGCCGTAAGATAAAAAATGTAACAACGTTAAGATGCAATATAAGAGAAGACGTGCCGGAAATTTATCCTTATTTACCACTGTGCCTAATGCTATATCTAATGTTAAGCTAATGCTCCTATGGATTAGGATGGACTAGGTCCCAAACAAATTATAGACGCTTGATCGTAGATGTTTTTAAATGGAAAAGTTTACTTTGCACTTAAGCCTTTTTTCTGTCAAAAGGAATTCCTATGATGACGTCTACACAGTGGAGGCGATGAATGGAGTGGAATGGTCAAACATATTAAGCTGTCCTTTAGCTTAACGACTCCCTTTCGAACTTCGAACGAAGTTTCGAACGAAACAGTTTTTTTTATTGCTTAGATGTCTGGACGAGCTCACAGCCCAACTGGTGTTAAGTGATTACTGGAGCCTATAGACATCTATAACGTAAATGCGCCACCAACCTTGAGATATAAGTTCTAAAGTCTCAGTATAGTTACAACGATTGCCTCACCCTTCAAACCGAAGCTCATTACTGCTTCACGGCGGAAATAGGCAGGGCGGTGGTACCGGTGCGGACTCACAAGAGGTCCTTCCACCAGTAATTACGCAAATTATAATTTTGCGGGTTTGATTTTTATTACACGATGTTATTTCTTCACCGTGGAAGTCAATCGTGAACATTTGGTAAGGACCGTATTTCATTAGAAAAATTGATACCCGCCTGCGGGATTCGAACACCGTTGCATCGCTCGAAATTAAAAGAGGCAGGCATGAGTGGATAATCTACGTACAGAAATCACTAATTAATAAAATAATGAATTAGATCTATTGACGTTATTGAATTTTCTGGTCCTATGGCTCACGGTGATTTGACTGAGAAACCGCTTAGCCAAAATATTGTAGGTCACTTTCAGATGCGATATCAGCTTTTGCACTTCCAGTGATATAATTCCATGTTTGTTGTTAAGAAGCTTCGGCGTGGGTGGAAGGATGTTGCCGAATTATTCGCACTATTTTATGTACCGGGAAAATCTTAGATATTATTCATTTCACTAGTTTGCTGGACGAGCTAACTTATCTAATGTTAAATAGTTACCGGAGCACAGAGGAAAACGTGGATTCCTCAACTCTGCTTAAGTAAAACAGACGTCACACCTTTCTGATGGCGTAATCAAGGTACCTTATGCTCTGCCTACCAGCAATATTATTTCTTCCCTACCATCCGCTCGCAAGCGTGACGAACGCGTTAAATTATGCCTTACATTGCTTAACATACAGGCACGATGGAATTTTGAACCGCATTGTCATTTATGATGAAAAACGGATTCCTTTCGTAATTGTAAGCGGTGATCATGTTGGTTAGACCTTGGTCCAGCACCTAGACGATGCCTCAAACGAAAAATGAATCTTAAAAAACGCACGGTCACTGTTTGGCCGTGTAGTGCCAATTTATTTAATCACTGCTTCTTATCAAATGTCCTTGTAGCAGACGAGCATACGGTCCATATGATGGTGAGTTGTTGCCGTCACTCGTGCAAAGTCCACAGCATAGCCAAGCCATTGCTAATCGCTACACCCTGCAAAACTCGTTAGAAGAAAGTTAGAGAAAAGATAATTATTTTAGTAAATACATATTATTAGCATTTATATATTTTATTTCTTTCTTTGGTAAACCAACAGTACAAAACATTCATGTAATATTAAAAAAAATAGCTAAAACAATAACCAAACAAGTTTCAACCATCAAAATCACATATAAGTAGAAAGTGAACAAAGGCAAAAAGAGAAATTTAGAAATTTAAGTTTACACAAAAATCAAATCAAAACAACTAAAGCAACACAATACGCACATCTGTACATCAACTTACAATTTAAAACTTAATAATACTTATCGGACTAAATCACCTTATAAATATTCTAAAACAGCATTTCTATATGCTAGCTACGGGTGACGTATTTATGTGTGTAATTCGGTGATTTAGCACCCTTTTCGTGGGTGGGCGGTGTGATTCGACAAAACCTAAAATATTAATAGCTCACAAAGAATTTGCGATGACTAGTAAACGTCCGCCTTCGGATGACCCCATTAATCATTAGTGTCGATTTTGTTTTAATTATATTCTTAATAGAGTTTTATTATAGTATTAATAATTAGATAACTTTATTTTTGTATGTCTGGTTTTATAAAAGTGTAAGTGGATGTTTTTTTCTACCATCTACTCACTCCACTGGCTATTCCACGGGTTTTTCGTGATCACGGACGACTAATTTAATAACTTTGAAGTTTAGGT